CGTAATCAGGATGTTGAATTACCCCTACAAGTTTTTAGTGGATTTGGTGGCTTAGGCAATTTGAAAATGAGCTCGGAGCCGAAATTTCTGGAGTCCAAACGGCATTAGCCCTCTGCGGAGACACACCTAATTTTACGGCAAGTCGTTCAAGTTGTGCGGATTGCGGAGACACACCTTATTTCACGGCAAGTCGTTAAATCCACCCGCATGACTTCCTATAACTATGAACAATCTATTGATCCAGGCTCACCTTGGATGATCTTTCCTGGCTTTTGTTTAATCCTTAAAAAGTAACACTTCGGCTATTCCAACTTTTCATAAGAAATAAAGAGATAGTAGCATCTTGTTGAAAAATTAATTGTTACTTCGCGTAGGTATGTTTTTTTTCCTCAATTTGTGAATTCATCTTTCGCAATTCGAAGCTTTGCCATCCACGGTCCTTTGAACTTCGTTGCTCCACCCCTCAGCAAGGGCGAGCCAGTGTGTGATTTTCAAGTTGTTTCATAACCCGATGATTCATCATTCTCCTTTTCGAACAGGAATTGGCCTATTCCTTGCTTCTTTTTCCGCTTGATTTTTCAACGTTTATAAAAGTAAAATGTTGGTTCTACATTGTAACTGTTTCAGCGTTTTCGCTTCTGGCCTGAAAAAAGCGATGGCGCATTGGTTTTCACCGGAACCCTATGAAGCCTACAGGTTTCGTAAAATTTTGAATGAAAGGCTACTCCTCACTTCTGAAGCTCATGGACAAATATGCAGGTCCGCGCTATTTTTTATTCTAATCCTGCCATTCTCTACCGCATCTTCTTTTTCCATCTCACCAAGAAAGGTCGGCAGGTAAGCCGGCCGTTTCTAATGAGGTGCATACCATTGTACGCGTCTTGAGACAGTGAACTCAAATCTACCTTCAAAATTTGGCGGATGATGCTCTGAACGAAGTAGGGGTTTTACTTCCCGCGGGTTGTTTTACATGCTTATCGCGAGGGACGTGGAGGCGTATTTACATATTTGTGGGAAAGAGGTTGCCTCAAACGTAAGCTGTGGGCGAAACAGGTAGCGAACGGGTCCCATGCGAGAGGCCGTGGGATCAGTTGCCGCGAGCTGACTCGCTTTTCCATCTTCAAGAACATGGCAACGTTCTCAACATCTCTGCTTTGCTGCACTAGCCTGTAAAGGAACCTGCGATCAGTTTTTTTGAAAGTGTAGACCCATTGTGGCCTGAAAAAGCGCTTGTACTTGTCCCCCTCCCCCGTTACTTATTTCACAGGGGTTTTTGCAATGACGTAGTATGATGGTCATGTTCAGCGGGCCAATCTAAGCGGGCAATCTTGGAACAATTTTCTAGCCAATCTGATATTTCGACCTAACTTGGAAAATGTGGGCTATTCTATGGGTAATTAGCAGCAGACTGGAGCTCACCTACCATCGATGACTGGTCTCGGGATGGAATTTCCTCCCGGTAATCAGGAAAATGATGCAGACGGCACAATAAGTGAGCCAGGTATTGTTCTCCGTCTTAAGACATGGTTAGAGAATATTCAGCTCGAAGACCAGTCATCACCAGTAGGCTAGTCGTAGTATCGCTGTTGGCTACCAGTCAGCCATGACTAATACCCCATTTTTTTCGAAGTTGAGTCAGAACCTCAGATTTCGCTAAGGTGACGTCCCTAGGGGTTATTTGACCCCCTGAACACGAATATGATACCTGTTTTGCGCGAAGAGCGCTGTGAGTCGCGCTACAGGTGCCAACGCTTCGGCGCCAGCGCGCCCTGGAAGAAAAAAAGCGTAAAGAAAATTATCCGTAAATCCGCTCAGAGACTCGCCCGGCAAATTTTGAAGATAGTTTAGAGTTCACCGTCTCAAGGCGAGTACAGCGATGTGCACCTCATTGTAAATGGCCGGGCTGACCTGTTGACCTTTCCTGGTTAGTAGTTGCCTTCAGGCTATTACTACTTTAAACATAGCAAGTACCTTTAGTAACTTTTGGTAATCGCATACTTGATGATATTCTTCCCGTATGGCTGCATTCATTCTAATCGATTTGAGTTTTGATGGACTGCTAAGGCTCGAAATAGAAAATAGTTTACAAAAAATTTAAGAGCGCATACTTGGCGATCGGACCATGAAGTATAAAGCGCGCTTTCAGGCGCTATTCGACTGACGGGTTCACATCTGCGCACGCACCTTTCTGGCAATAGTAGAACGATAAATACATCACATTGATATAGTAGTGAAATCAGTTTCGTTTTGATACCACAGCTACAAGGAGCGATTGTTTATAACCAGGACGTTTCCTGTTGAAAACCATACCGCGCTCGAGCAATTTGTAAGCCTCTTTCCTTCTACAAATTGTCTAGTCCTCATTCTCTGAGATTATCCCCACTTTCGCAGCTTCATAATGAGTAACGAAGACGCGGTGACCTTAGCGCTGGCAGCCTGTGTTCTGACGCCTCCCTAGTTGTCCCGCCTCCCAATAGCCTCAAAGGCTGTTCTCTGTCACGAGTTCAGTTTCTACGTGTTATACTGTTAGATGGTATTAGCATGGATGACGCGAAGTAAGTGTTGAGTAAGTGAGCCGAAGGCGGCAAGATACCTCAAAGCGCGACCCTGCTAAATATCTATCTATATCTAATCAATATCTGCTAATCTTGTAGCCTTCCTGATTACACAAAGCTGACATGTCGCGAATAGTCATGTCATTTCTTTTCAGTGAATTGCGGCTGCGTAGAGAGAAGCTGTTGGAATATTTCAAGAATGCCGGAAACGATCTTGCCGAAGTCGACAAGGATTTCAATGACTATCTACGACTTTTCGCTGGATTTCTCGTGCAAATTGATAAAACTACGGCAGGCGCTGGTGAGTTACCGATTTCACCAGTGCAACCCTTTCCATCACTTTATTTTCACTTTTTATCACTCACTGGCTTGAAAGCTGTCGTTACTAAACCGTGCTATTTCTTTGTTTGTTTCGTTTACTTAATTTACATTTCTCATTTTTTGCATATGCTCTGAGAATTTGCGTTGCTAAGACGGCCGTACTCTCCGTTCTCAAGACATCTGTCAATGCGAAGCCTTCGTCCTCCTCAATCATTTTTTCATTCCTTCGCTTCTTCCTTCCTTTTACCCATGTTTTCCTCCCTACAGTAATTCAGCAAAGCAAGAGAGGAACATGTCTTTGGACCCTTGCGACCCTTGCCAAGTGAGAGTAAATCTTCCAGCTGATAGCATGTTCTCTTATCTTGCTTTACGAAAAATGAAAGTGCATCGAGGTCATCACAAGAATTCTGAGGGGTGGGTAAAAGGGGTGTGTGTCAGGGCTCACCACCGCGCCCGAAACTAGGTCGCCGCGCTGGGAAGTGGGTCACCGCGCGCGTCGACTAACATGCATTTAGACTTGTTTGCGTATCTGTGAACATTGGTCTACTGTTTGAGAATGCTTCCTTGGCAGATGGAAGATTGAAGTCAAAGAAGAACGCCTCCCCAGCCAAACTGCGATACCGCGCGCTCCACAATGAGTCGGTAAGTTTTGGCAAAATGCCAGCGGTCAGGACTTCACCGCCGGTGCTCAGAACAGGTCGCGGCCCTTCGGGTGACTAGTTTTTGAGTGGAGCGGCGGGACTGGCCTGGCCGTCTCCCGGGGTAAAAGTTTTGACTGCCAGCCGACGTCTCGAACCCACTCCTGGGGTACTCAGAATTCCCAAACGAGAGGTCGCCTCTGGAGCGTTTTTGCGGCCAGTCTTGGGCTTTGGTCCGGGCAGTCGCCTCAAAATGCTCACACAAAGTTTGGAACGGCACCTCAAGAGCAAAAACCTTCCTAGACGTATATGGATAGGACACGTCGCTCGATCAGCGGGAGATGAGAGTTCAGCCCGTCCGATTTTGCCCCTAATTCAGCATCCTTGCGGTGATTTTATTATTTAGTAGCGGTAGCCGCGAGGTTAAACAGGTTTACGTTAATCATTGCTAAATTCAAACCTCAGAGCATGGAGGTCGCTTACTGAACTTTCGTTTCAAGAAAATTTTGAAAGCGTTTTGCGGAAGAATTCTCAGAAGGATTTCTATTTTTCCTTTGGAGGGTGCCGACTGCAAGCGACATCTCTTAAAAAGGCTCTAAAGAAAAGCAATACTGAAGGTCGGTCGAGTAAAGGAATCGTTACAGTCTGAACGCTAAAGCAACATCTTTGAGTATTGTTGTCGTTCACTGCCCGAGATTAATGAAGCCAGTCGATCATGGAGTATTTTTGTCTGATTGGGGTTGAGTTTACTTGTAAGTAGTTTCGCTTGTTTCGCACACACACGTACTGGAATTTTCCATCTTACTACGCTTCGCGAGTTCGAGTGGCGTACACCCCGAAGTCTGTCTCTTCAGCTCTAGAAAAGAATAGGGATTATTCATCGCTGATCTAGACCCCTTCAAGCTTGTTGAACGTTACCTCAACGAAGACGGCGCGACCTGCGGCATACCCTCTCTTTCCTAGTCTTTTATGATGCGTTTATATGGTTACGGAAACAGATCTGGACCACTGCCTTTTCCCTTGGGCGTTCAGAACTTGCTCTCTCTACGCGTGTTACAAGGCATTTCATTGACAATGCTATGTTAATTTGAAGATGCGCCTTCTAATTCCTTTTTTTTGGCGCGCGTTCTGATTTCTTCTGTGTCTCTAAGAAATAATTTTCTCGTTTTATTACTTACTCTTCCGGATAAACAGTCGTTATCGCAACAAAATCTGGATTAGCGACGCCCGTAAGTACTTCAGTAAAGTTATCGGGACGAGAATTTTGGTGATTATAGTGTCTTTCGAGGGGCACATGATTTTCTCAATGGCAAAATTTCAAGGTGCAGGGCACATGACAATGGCAAAATTTCAAGGTGCAGTTGCCCATAAAATTCGGTGAAATGGGTCGATTGTCCCTTTAGAACGCTGTATTTTATAGGAGACGATCCGTCGAAAGGCGTCAGTAAACTTGCACCGGTGCAGCGATACCAGTGGGGACACTCTATGCTGGGAACTTTTGCCACGTGAGCATTACTAACACGTGATTTTTTTGATCAGGCTGCCCATGTTGTGGTAGTCTTTCGGGGCAGTTCGGCGACGGGGGGGGGGGGGCATTTTGCACTTTTGCTACTTCCCATCGACGTGTCGACCCATCTAGACAGCCTCTTCTCGAGTTGACAGGTTTTACCATGATGGCTTGACGAGCTTGCTCCAGCTTCACAAGAGTTCACAGGTTTCACCAGAGTGAGACTTGTAAACCGGAACTAGTGAAGCAACGAAAGTGCAAAATGTCCCCCCCCCCTGTCGCCGAGCTGCGCCCCTTTCTTTGGAACTTAGTTGTGTGGACCGGTTTGAACGAGTACTTTCAGTGAGATGTCAGATTCATGGTTTGAAGCTTTAAACTTGATAGCATGCATGGCTATGTGGCTCTCTAAACACGCGGCATGGGTTGCCGGCAAAGATGACGTAAGGTCTTAATTTTTTCTAAGTATATTCGTATTTTTCTTCGCATAGAATGGATCTTCAGGTGAAAGAGTACGAAGCCAAAGAATGTTTAACTTGCCTCCGTCGAGCAGCAGGAATGTTTTCTTATGTCGGCACGCACATCGGTAGGTTTGCATTTTTGTACCTAACTGATGCTTTTAAATAATTAACCAGTACACTTACTACTAGTAACAATGATTTGCAATCTTCTAGGTCGTTTGTCTGGCACAGGAGACTTTGAAGGTGCCGATTTCGATCCGAAAGTAGGAAGGGCTTATGAACAGCAGGTGCACACATCAGTTTCATTGCTTGTTTTTCATCTTAGTACAGTTATATTTGCCTCTTTTGTAAGGTTCTTTTATTTACCTACTTTTCTTTGGAATTCTTTAGAAAATGCATTATTAGCCTTTTAATCTCAAACGACCATCTATTTTTCAGTAATTTTGGGCGCTCAAAAAGTGATTGAAATTTCTTTCTTAGTAAGTATTAAGGCTCATGGCAGGGAATTTGTATCTAGGCAGCCTTCGTAGGGTCTCTGCTCCGCTCTTGCGTGCCATTTAAATATCTTATCTCGATGAAAGCTTTCTGAACACACAGAAGGACTAGATCGAGGCCAGTCACTCAGAATGAGGCATTTTGATTGGCCAGTCGTTGTTAGTCCTTGCCTGCGTATTGGCCGTAAGACCGCGTTCATACTTCGCGATAGGAGCATAGGGAAATCGGCTCAGACCTTTTAGAGAACGTGCACAAAAGGAAAGTATAGATATCGATCTGGCGTCTTGGTAACATGGGAAAGCTGGTGACTTTATAAGGTTGCCCGCCAAATAAGTA